TTTTTTTTTTTTTTTTTTGTTTTTAATTAGGTGTAAATATGTATTAACTTTAATGTTAACAATAATAGAAAAGTAAATGAAGTTTCGCATTTTTTATTGTGTTCTATCATACGTATTTTTCCGCGTAATATATTCGTCATACTTCGAAAGCAATGCCGATGTTCTAATTATGATAATCGGAATGATTCATCAGTTAAAGGAGATAAAGTGTTAAAGATGATAGAATGTGAAAGAAATAAGTAATTCTTTCTCAGACATTGTCTTAATGACATAATGAATTAGATCCTTAGGTAATTTATTAATGTACTCAATGTATATTGAAATATTTTTATTTATTAAAGTAAATTTTAATATTTTATGGTCATACAATTGAATTTTTTTATCTATTATGCTATTCAGCATGAGTTTACTATTATAGGAGTAAGTCAGCAAATTTGTTACAAATGTTAATTAGTCTGACGTGAATGAGCTTTTTAACGATATCAATAAATTATAACAAATATGAACTGCACCATTGTTTCAGCCAAACTTCCTATATATTATTTTTGGACAATACATACAATCTGCTATGCATACAAGATTTAGATTAGATAATATCACTCTTAGAGAAAATTGTAGCTCAAAATAGGTATATAGGGGTCAATACTATACATACAAGTTTTAGATTAGATAATATCACCCTTAGAGAAAATTGTAGTTCAAAATATGTATATAAGGGTCAAGTAAAATAGAACTGTTTTATAATATATCTTTTTATTTATTTGAAACATGTCTATTTTTTCTGTTTAATCTCCATTGTAACAAACGAGTAGAAAAGTCAGAAACATTATGTAATTTTATATTGTAATAGTGTGTTCATTTGTTTGATTGCATTTACTTGTACATTTCATTCAGCTAAACCATGTTAAAAAGAAATCTTATGATTAATTTTGATAACACTTGATAAAAGTACAAGTAGCTACATTCATATATATGATAGTGATAATATAGTAATAATATCATAATGTATCGTATAACAAAATATTTTAAAGGAAATTATATTTTAATTCATTTTTTCATCTACCACATCCTTATATATCTTAAATATTTTGTAACTTGTAGCTTAATAATAGCACATAAAATAGTATTTGTTATTAAAAAAAAAGGGGGGGGGGATATATTTACTGATACACATATATTTGTTAATAAATCACTTGTATAATGTATTATGTAAACCTGTATATTTAATAAAATTGCAGTGATATTAAAGCAACTAGGTGATACATTTTTCAGAAAAAGGGAATGGCTAATTTGATGGTATCTACGTCGAGTAAGAATAGTTCACGCAGTACTTCACCTAACAGAGGAAATACACTGACCTCATCACAACAATTGTCTGCTACTTCGGAGCATATTCCAAAAGCACGTAATGTTTCACTGTAAGATCTAATTTTTTGTAGATATTAATATGTATGCTTGCATAGATTAAGATTAAAAATTCTTATTTTTTTGTAGTATTTTACATGAAACTGAAACATTAAGCTTATGCTTCAATATGATGTAATTAATGATACCATATTTTGTACTTACAAATAAGAAAACTAAGTTCCTAAAAAAAAAAAAAAAATAATGAAAAGTATATGAAAGGAGCACAGTACAAAATTAAATTTGACTTCGCAGTTCCCAAACAGGGGAGGGTAGTACAGGCAGTGGAAGTAGTGGTGGTGGAGGCAGCCTCAGCATGAAAGGTAGTAGGCAAAAATCACCAGGAACTGTAATTCGAGTAGATGCTATGGATGAACCAAATACCAATTTAATCACTGCTGAACAAGACGAGTTTGTGCCAAATATTCACATACCAGCTGATGATGAAGGAGTATGTGCTTTAATATTTTTAAATAATTTATACTTCAGAAGCTTCAAAGCATTTCAATTTATATGTATTTATGTTTCATTTATTTTTTCATTTTTAAATAATATATTTCCAGTAACTTCATGTAAATTAATTTGCAATTCTCTATAAAAATATGTTTATGATATTTAAAGTTATTATTGTAGTATTGAAATGAATGAAAATGATACTATTGTGTCCTTAAATATGTGTTACAGTAGTAAATATGGTTGTATATACTTATGTAAAGTTACTTATGTAATGTAATGATGTTGTGCATGCAGTGACAATCACACTGTACTACAAGGTCATCAACCACTACTGTATAATCAGGGTTATAGGTTAAGAAATTAAGTAGTTATTTGCATAATGTTACAAGAGCCTTTGAAGCTAGACATTTTACTCTCTATAAATCCAGAGTACAAACTACAAGCTATCGAGCAGTGTGCTCAAGGAAATGTGCTTTGTTAGTCATAACTTTTTTTTTTATTAGTTGGAGTTACTTGTGCTAATTACATTTATGTATTTTAATATAATTACATACTTATTTGCAGGAACAATATCATACAGCACAATCGTTCCTATCAAATGGCTCCTCTGAATTAATGACTGATGATGTTGATTCCAATTCTGCTCGTGTTTGCCAAGCTATTGAAAACATCCAAAATAAAATTGCTAAAACGCGGGAACTTATAAGAATAGAACAAACCACACGTGATGGTAATTTTCAGTAATTAACAATTAATTATTCCTGATACTCTTCATTTTAACATAATAAAATAATTCTTTACATTTTAATAGAATGCTATTACATATAATGATAACTTATATTATAGTGTGTATTGTAAATGTAAAATTTATTCAATTTTTTTTTTGCTTCCTTTCCAGAAAATGTTAATGAATATTTGAAATTAGCTGCCAATGCAGATAAGCAACAGCTTACACGAATCAAAGCAGTATTTGAAAAGAAAAATCAAAAATCAGCGCACAGTATTTCTCAGCTACAAAAGAAATTGGATAGTTACACCAAAAAATTAAAAAATTACGAATTAAATGGTGCACCTACAAGTCACAGACAACCTAGAGAAGTGCTTCGTGATATGGGACAAGGACTTAAGTAAGTATATCCCATGGTTTATCTACTATCTACACAAAAGAAATAATTATTAATATATGTCAATTTTTCCTTGTATTTATTTTAAATATTTGTCAATTGTTCATAATGTTATAATTATTTATAAAATAAATTTGGCTGCAGATATTATAATATATATTTTATACTATAAATATTTTTTTCTTTATTTAAATACTTGTATTTAAAAAATAATAGTCTTGGATTAAATAGTTGTATGTAATCTATTAAAATGATTTTAAATTTTACACTAATATGATTACAAATGTGAAAAATTATTTCTTTAGTGTAATAACTTCTTTGTGTTCTTTTTTCTTTCTTAATTTGTCTTTTGTTGTACTAAATATAGGGTATGATACTTTCATCTAATTTAAGATTCACTTCCAGAAATGTGGGTGGCAATATTAGGGTTGGAATCAGTGGTTTTTCAGGGTGAGTGTTGATATGAAAATAGATTTGAATGTTTTTTGCATTACATTTAATTTAAAAAATTATGGTTTTACAAAATAAATTTTAAATAAATGAAGTTCATATTATTCATATAATATTTTCATGTAAATGTATTAAAGTAAAATTTAAATACTATAGGTATTATTTATCAAAATACTATAAGTATTTTTTGTATATTTCAGAAGTGTAATGTCCAAACCAAGAGAATTTGCACATCTAATAAAAAACAAATTTGGCAGTGCTGATAATATAAATACTTTATCTCGTGAGTAATTTTTATTATAAATTATTTTTCTAATTAACTAATACAATATTCTTCCAATCTTATTTATTATATAATTTTTAAATAATATTTACTATCAACAAAGTTAATAAAACGTTTGTGTTTAAAGAGCACTATCACTAAGCACATATTGATTTATGCTAATAAATTGCGACATTACAAGCAATAGTATGCACGTTTCTTTTATTTAGAATATATATTTACATATGTATGTGTGTTTATGTGTAGATACACTATTAGAATCATTAGAATTTTATTTTAACCAATAATACATTTATCGTTCTAAAAATATGATTTCTGATTTATCTAAAATGATATGAAAATATGTATGATTCAAAATGTATTATAGTAATAGAACAGTATTTTTCTATTTACTTAAATATTGAAGAATAAATAATATTTAATATTTTGCGCTGTCATGGCAGTTGAAAGTAGTAAGTAACATTTGTGCTAAATTTCTTTACTATATATTTCTTTCCTTGTATACTCCATAAACTTCCTCTTATATAGTAAATATATGATATGTTATATAGTAAATATATCATATATGTTTTAATGTATCTATAAAGTCTTAACAACTTTTAACACTGTTACTTCTTTTATTGCATATGAGTTTTTGAGAATGTTGTGTTTACATATTTTAAGCTTTATATTTTTATTACCATTTTATGTTATCTAATAATTTTGCCTCGTCTTTAGTGGCTTTAACAAATTCAGATGTTTGCTTTTTTAAATATTAGTTATCCAATACATCAGCAAGATATAATTAAACATACATGTAAATATAATAAGTTCAAAAAACAAGAATTATAGAGGAAAAACAATATTTATATTAATTTTACAGAGCATTATATAACACACTATTAATACAGCTATATACAGCAAAAATGTTTTTGAATCATAAATAATTATATCTGAAGGACAGGAATATTGCTATATGAAGAATTATATAAACTGATTAGTTGTTAACAAAGGCAGAATAATTTAGTATTGGATAACATTCTAACTTGCGACGTCTGTGTCCCTGTAGATGGCTCGACTTTTTATGTAAACGATACACCGCGTGCAGGTAATGGAGATAACGCTAGTGTTGAAGATGAAAAGGCTCATCATGGATCAGCAACACTTCCTGGTGGATGTAGTTTGGGATCAACTCACAGTGCTGCAGCAATGAAATTTCCATCTGAAGAAGGATCAGAATGCTCCAGTGTTACAAGTGAAAGTGGGCCTGGTAGTAGGGGACAAGCACATACATGTCACAGTAGCAATAATGCTGCACTTAGTCTCAAGTCTATTTTCTCAGAATTACAAGAACACAGAGAAAACCTGGAGAGAATGAAAGACAAATTAGAAGGTTTGAAGGTTTGTTTCTGCCAAATTAAAAATTAAAAGACACAAAAGAATGAATATAAAATAAGGTTTGAATATTTTTAATTTTAGAGTTTGCAAACAGAAGTAACATATCTTTCCCATGCTTTGCAAGAGGAACGTTTTAGATGCGAACGTCTAGAAGAACAAATTAATGATTTAACAGAACTGCACCAAAATGAAGTGGAAAACTTGAAACAGACTATAACAGACATGGAAGAAAAAGTGCAATATCAAAGTGAAGATCGTTTAAGAGATATACACGAAATGTTGGAAAGTTGTCAAACTAAAATTTGTAAAATGGAACACCAACAACAACAACATCAACAATATGTTACTTTAGAGGGTCTGGATAATAGTAATGCAAGAGCATTGGTCGTAAAGCTCATAAATGTAGTATTGACAGTGTTACAAGTTATTCTACTTCTTGTTGCAACAGGTGCTGGTATAATGATGCCTTTTCTTAGGACCAGGTATATTTATTTTCATATTTTAAATTACGTTTAATTTTTACTTCTGCAGGGAATATTTAAAATTAATAATTAATACGAAATAATTTATTCAAACATAAAATATCATAATATATTCCAGTTTAATAGCAAAAGCTTTATAAAGTAAATTTATTTATTTTTTTTTTCCAAAGAACATGATTTATTTATTTATTTATTTTATTCATTTGTAATAAACATATAACTATCATATTATATAGTAATAACTCATGCTTCTTGTCAGTGTATGTTTCTTTTATATCATTCTTGCTTTTTTTTAAATTCACATACATTTCAATTCATACTTCATCACGTACATCTCCATCTGGTTTTATTTTCGCACACTCATTGTTTTATTTTGTTTTCACATCTCTGTTGCAGTTGTACTAAGCCTCATTGTTTCATGTGCAGGGTGCGCATATTAACTACTACGCTTGTTGTATTGGGCATAGTATTTGTGCTCAAACAATGGCCTGAGGTTCACGATGTGGGCAGTCACCTCATGCGCCGTCTTAAGCAGACGCTCGCCGTTAAGTAGCATCGTAAGTAAATTAAAATTATTTTTATAAATATTGTAAAAATTGTTCTAATTATGTATAAAAAATAGAGTATAATTTTGCATTCTCTGTTAATTAATTTTAATTAATCTAATACTCTATTAAATCAAAGTATAAAAAATAAATAAGTAACTTATTCTAGGGTGGTATACTTAAATTTACCATACCCTGTGATGAAGAAAAGTTGTACACAATGATCAACATTTTGGACCCATTTATCAGTGCTGTAGTTTTGGAGCAATAATAGTAGGTATATGCGCAAATGACTTTATTTATATTTTAAATTTGATCATGTTCGCCATTATTATATTAAATCAGATGAGTGATCAAATCTATTTGATACTGTTAACAGAATTACAATACACAAAACATATTTTGCTGTGCAAAAATGTTCCACTTAGGGAGAAGAGATTTTCTAGAAATGATAAATGCGAAAGTGTCTTTTGTCCTTTTTGTGAGTGTTATAAATTTATTTTGCTATATTTTTACTTTTACTTAAACAATTTTGTTAACAAAAAGAAAGAAAGTACGCATTTAATATTATTTATGCGCAAATGAAATAAAAATGATTATAATTTAAAACAAAATAAAACAACTTCTATGAAACATAAAAGAGGCAGTAATTATAACGCTGTACACTGATATTGCTTGATTACATACGGCACATTGTTAGAATTTATTCTGGTGTCATGCAATTAAGTTCACTTTTACATGAATCATTGATTAATACGAAATTTAAAAGAAAAAAAATTATTGAACAAGCGAAAGTACTGATTAAAAGGTAAAAAAGAAAATTGTTTTATCATTAGTGTCTGTGGGAGGTGTTATTGCCATTTCCGGGATTATAGTTCGTAAATTTGATATTCTAGTAACATGTAAGTTACTAAATACACGTTTTTAAATAAAATGTTCGTAATTACAATCGTCCAATTGCTAAACAATAATATAAATTAAGAAATCAAGAAAAACCTTAAATATTTGTAGATATGCTTCGCTTCAAAATGTGTAAAATATTATATGATATATTCTTTCGTATTGATAACGAAGTGGGGTCATTTAATCGATTCTAGAAACTGCATCTTTATGTAATCATAAATTATACATTCATGAGAACACAAAAATGTAATACTATTTGAATACAAACAAATGTTTATATAACATCCAATATCAAAAAAGGACCAATGTATTCCTTTCCTCTTATTCTGTAATGTTAATTTATTTGATATACAATGTAAAAGAATTATTCTTTTGAAATAAATTATGTCAGTTATTATGCTCTGTAGTCTCATGAATGTTTCAAACCACCACAGACACAAGAATGCGTACATATTATATCAAATATAAAGAAATGAACCATGACAGATGTTGAAATGAGAGAAAGACTGATGGACTACATCGCTGTTACAATTGTGAGTAATTTAATATTCATGGCAATTTTGTGTTGCAATTCATTGAAAAAGTGTTGAAACAGTAAAATGATTGAGGAAAAACTAAAAACATTCAATAGCAATTAGAAAATGATACAATTCTATGAAGAAAAATGAGTCTTAAGTTAACATAGGTGCTCAAATCTGTGAGTGTATAAAATATTTTGGTCTACATAATTTTTTTTATTATATTGTCATTAATGGTGAAATATCATTTATTTCATCAGTTCTCTAATTTTTATCGTTCCAGCATTATTGCAAGCACAGTGTCTCAAAATATTATAAAGTTTCACAACTAAATAATATTATTTTGTGAATATGTGAAAATCAAAGTAAATAATTTTCTGGTAATTACCTTTTTTTACCGCTTAATACATAAAATCCTCTTTATGTTTTATATACATGTATAGTTTTTAATTTGTATTATGTTCGTACATTAGAATTTTTGTTATTTGTATATGTTGAACTATGTAATGTTATCGTTTCGTTGACGTTTAAAAAATACGAGAAATTATTTTCAATTGATAAACAAAATCTGTAAATAAAATTAAGTTTATTTAGTAATGTCTTTCCTCTTTTTTTTTATGCCTGTTATTCGTGAATACAATATCAAATTTCCTAATTTTTTTCATTTAATAATATAGTTCTTTAAAATGTTATTTATATACCATTATCAACTCTCATATTTGATTATTATTATCACTGCTTTTGTCATATTTGTTGAAAACAATTTTTATAACTTTTATATAAGTTTAATGCAAATACTGCCAAAAATATAACATGAAAGATATATGTATAAAAATTAATAATTTAGGAAAGGTACAAAAATCATGTTAATTGCAATTTTGTCTATATTGAAGATCAAAGAAGAAAGGAAGTTTGATCGTGTATTTGTAACTGCATCAGGCAAAATTTTATATTACAACAGATCGCGTATATTCTTTTACTTTCTCAAATTGACTTTCTTTACAATTGTATTATAAAAATTTATTAATAATTATAATAAAGTTTCCTTCGAGTAATCCTCTTGCGTTCCTATAAATAGTCGTTTTTTATGTCTATAAATTTATAAATACGTCGCTGTGACTATACTAAGTTTATATATAAGCGTAAAAGTTAAAAATCAGTTTTGGGATCAATATAATTATATATACAAAATTTTCAAATCCTTTTATGTCTGTATTCTTGTACTAAATGTAAAATTTGCGAAAAAGATACAACTACAATAATGGTTAAACAATATTCAAAGAATTATATAGATTCGTTGATATATTGATTCTATTGGATTCAATGTTATATTGATTCTGCAAAAAGATTTCTAATTTTACGTTATTTAAATCAAATTTTGACTAAAAATATATGCTTATTATTGTGTAAGTGACAACTAGACAAAATATATAGGGTGTTCAATAATGCGCTTATATATATATTACTATAATTATCACTGCTGCATAAACTTTCTTTCAAGATTAATCGTTATTTATTATTAATTATCAGTATTTATATTTAAAATAAAAATTCTACTTACAAGTATAAGTAAATGATCGAGAAACATAAAGTGCAAGAGTTGTACGTCCGATTCCCTGTTTGTAGTTTCATATTAAGTAAATGACACCCTATATGTATTGTATAGCTTTAGATCGTGGTGCTTTGTAAGATACACATATAATCCAATATTAGAAAATTTGTTAACACCATCGATCACTGATTTAGTGAGGGCCCCTATCTGCACGCTTACAAGAATGTTTACATAGTAATGTTTGGGCGTAGCAGAAAAGAGAAGCTATTAAATTAATATAAAAAAAAGAAGTTATAAATATTTATATGAACAAAAAATTACACACATGTCAAACAACGATGGACGTATTTTGTATCTTACAATGTTACATTTTTCTATGAGTTTTTCTTTTTATCGCGGCTATTTACAATTTTATATGTATTTTGTATTAACAAAGCTTCACGGGAGAACGTAAAGAATATGCTTAAATAAGTTGCGATAAAGTTGATGTAATCCTGGAATTTGATAATCGTTACTCACATTTCCCGTAATTTCAGGGGCCCCCTATATAGTTATAGTATAGAATGAAAAAGTAACGAAACAAATATATTGTCATCGATGCCTTGCATAGGTAGTTAATGTCAAATTATAGATTAAATATTTGTTGTCAATTGTAGGACGATGTAGGAAATAGAAACAGCGATTGTAATGGAAATTGTTAACATGCTAGACACATACACGTACATATATATGTATATTATGCATACACACGAGTGTACGTATGTAATAGCTGCATAACAGGTCAGTGTAATAATGTAGTTAAAGACAAAAATAAGTTTATGTCCATTTAAAAAGAAAAAAAAAAAAAAACCAATATACGAGCGTCATGCCCGTATTATGTTATTGCTGCTAAACAACAGTTTCAAACCCAATATCAATTTAGCAGCTCTTGTCATTAACAATATTATTTAATACCGTTTCGAAATAAAAAGAATTTTTAATAAAATTAGTCATTCTTTCTGCCCTTACCACATTAATTAATTTAAAATAAAAAAGATAAATGATTCGATTTAAATATTTTATAGCTGAAGTAGTAATAAATAAATAATATTAACACATGCATAGGTATATCAAATTTAAAAATAATTCTAAAACTGATTGTATAGTTTTTTATATTTTTTACCGAGAGGATTTGTTAATAATAATATTACAATCACAATTTTACAAATAATGTAATCATTTTATTATTATATATCACAATTTCTACTATGCATAGTGCTGAAAGCTGTTTTATTTAAAAGATAACCGCAGAGATGCCACAGAAATATGTATCATGTTATAGGTGATTATACATAATTTCACAATTTTGTTGAATTTAAAAAATTATATTGTTAACGAGATATAACCACCATTCTATAGCATTTCCTTGCAGTAAAATTAGCTATCAGCCTTTCATTTGATAAATAATATTTTAATGTTTTGCTAATATTAATAAGAAAATATTTTACTTTCCTTATGATAATCATGTTTTTTGTTATGAGTAGATGTTGCATCATTTTGTTTGTTTACATGGCGTTTATAACAATTTTTAATGCACACACAATATAAAGTGTAAATTTTTATGTAATTAAAATGAATCGCTTTTCTAATATACTTTAATATGTCTCTAAATAAATAACGTTTTTGTTATTTTATTAACAATACATGTTGCATTTTTTAGAAATACGTTAAAAAATAAATTATAAATTGATTTATCTCAATTTTATTTTGTAAATTTAAATACCACTGCTAAATAATTTGAGCTTTTCGTTCAAGTGAACATAAATGTTATTTGATCAGAAACTATATAATAATAGTATCCTTTCTACGTCGTTAAAATATGTTAAAAACTTTGATAACATTTTTAGTATTTGTTATTAAAAAAAATATATCACAAGCTAGAAACCAGGTTTTATAATGCAAATACACAGGCTATAAAAGCTTGCAAACAATAGTTATCAATTGCATAACTTAAAATTGATAGCATTTTATGGCTTGATTAACAATAATCATTGATCTTTGAAAAAATCTAGGGCAAAACAAAATTTCAAGTAAAAAAAAAAAAGTAAATAAATTAAAAATAGCAACATATTTCGGTAAAATATCCGTACCGATACAAAAAAGACGATTATGTAAATGATTATTTAATTTTTCTTTACTTTCTATATCTGTAAGTGACTTTAGAAAAAACTGTTATCCCTTGCAAAGAATTCTCGAAAATATATTCTTTGTATACAATTTTAAAATATATGCTACAGTAAAGGAATACATTGTGGTGACTAATGCCGCTTCTTACAAAAATGCAGACTTGATATTTTCTATCATGTGTT